TTTGATCCGCGAATGCTTCATCCAACATCCGATCCGCTTCATCCAGAACCAAAATCTACAAAAAAAGAAAAAAAGTGTACAAAAAAGGCGTCCTAAATCAGACCCTTGGAAAAGCCAATTAATCAGTGGCTTTTGCCAATGAGTGATTGCTGATGTTATCAGTAGCATTATCCATGCTTGATCAGCTGCAGCTAGACACAGTAGCATTTCTCTATCTACTTCCCTATCCCTCTTAGAATTCTTAATTCCTATTTTCATTTTACCTCTTCTATTTCCCAATTTCAACATTATTACCATTACTTAATTCTTTTTCATTTCAATTACTTTTCCTTTCTAACAAAAAATATATAGTTACCACAGTCGTCGTACTGACGAGGTCCAACTGTGGTAATGGTAAGAAATGTATACGACTTAATGGACCGAAACATTTCACTCTTATTACTCTTTTTAGACCTTTTCTATCATCTACTTCTACATTTTCTAACAAAATTTTCAGTTAACCTTAAACAGTACGAACGTCAGGGCTGCTAGTAGCAAACTGACCAACAGGCGATGCCAACACTGGACAGAGTGAGTGAAAAAGTTGCCAGCTGCAAAATCAAAAAAAAAAAATTCAGGTAAAAAATACCTCAACATCGTGAAGTGAAAAATTTGGTGCATTATGCAACTGATCAATCAATCGCCCTGGTGTAGCAATAACAATATCAGGCCGCTGTCGAAGTGCTGCTTCCTGAGCTTTCAGGTCCAGACCACCTGGAAAAATTTTCTCAAATTCAAGGAAATCGTGCGAAGAGCATCAACACATAGCCAATCTGTGACTGGATCATTCCCCGATCTGCATGGATTGGAATCCCCTGGACATGTCAAATCCAAACTGCATGCTTTATGATTACAGTCAAAAAAGGACTAATACTAAACAACGTTATCATACGAGAAAATCGCGTAGAATTATTCAGGCACAGGCAAAAAAAAAAAATAAATTTTTTAGAAAAATTTCAAAAAAACTCGACGGATGTCTTAACTTAATGGTAGGCAGAGTTACATCAGCCAGTGGCTCAACTAGCTTTCGATGATAAATTGATCTTAGCACATGGGAAGAAGTCAAAACCGTCATCAACTTGCTTTTAAACAAAATTTGTCGAAGAAAACGAAAGATTTCCATATCTGCTCTTGACTACATAAAAAAAGATTCAGCTCAAACAACGCAGTCAGGTGCATTTCTCAATCTTGTTCTCTCACTGCGATAAAAAATGACTGATCACTCGAAAAATGCATTTTTTTTTTTTAATTTATTAATTCACCTTGCCAATCGGTGACTGCTGTTGGTAATTGCTAGCATTTCGACTACTTCCGGATTGCTTTCTTCCCACATAGATAACGAAAACAGAGAGGGTTCTGACTTTTGAAAACTAGCATAAATGGAAAGTCCTCGAGAAAGCTATATCATTTTCATCGGATTATTTTCAAAATTATTGAATTTTATAAAATCATTCAATTCTTGCCGCCTTTTGACTACAATAACCAAACCGCACAGACAGCTGTGCTATCCAAGAAAAAAAAAGGAACGACAATTGAATATATAAATGCTCCCCCACGCTATTACGCCCCCCCCCCTCCTTCTCCTTCCTCCATCAACACTCTCCACTAGACCCCGTTTCCTATCCGAAGCCCCGTCGTTCCCTCTCCTCTTCTTTCTCCCATTATGCTAACTCCCATCTCCCTTGCCCAGCCCTTCTTTTCTTCCTAGTGCAGTGCATGCTAATAATGACGAAGCATAAACGCACAGAACTGCTAAAAACGCATTCATCGAAGAATCAACACCGCTAGTGCTGTTAGGAAGGAAATTTCCTCAAAATTTTGCTCGAATTTTTCAATTTCTTCTTTCAGCTCACAAAATATTTGTTTTAAAATATTTAAATATCAAATGTAAGTGATCACTGCTGCTGCCACTACTCCTTTGTTTTATATTTCTAGAAAAATTATTAGGAAATATTTGCAAGTTTTCCAGAAACGACGTATACTTCAAACAGTGGTACAGAGCTAAGAATTTTTCAGCGACGGAAGGGGAGGGGAAGATCAGGGGGACGGAGCGCAATATCACCCAATTTTTTTAGAAAACATAATGTGAAAAATTCAAAGGGAAGTGATCTGTGAAGTGTAGAGAGAAGGTACTAGTGGACCTATGCAGCTCAGGATCGAAGGGACTGGCACGCAGTGTATCTTTGTAAATCCGAGCGAACTTTTTCTTGGTGGCAATCCTTCGTCTTAAACTTCGTATGAATTCTAAAGCGTAGGGATGTTCTAATTCGTCGCAACTTATTGATTTGCCTAAAAGTGATAAGCTGAGGGATGCTAAGCAGAATCCGTTTCAGCTAACTTTGTAATCATTCAAAATATATTGATACATTTGAAAATCAAAAAGCAGCTGCAATATTCTATAAATGACAAAAATATTTGGATAAGCAAAAAATCTGATACCAAATCAATCAAATATTGAGGGTTTCAGGATTTCAGAATTTTTCAGGGGCGAAAATTTTCATTTCAGGAACTGAGCGGTAAAAATGGCTACTGAGAAAGAAAAACACCGTCTCTACTGGTCAATATTCATTCTGTATGGCATTTATCAGACCCTGGAACAAAGCAGTCGTTTCATAATTCCTTTTATATATTTCGGTAGTATACGGGGTCTCTATGGAGAAACTATTGTCAAACTGAATGCAATCGGTAATTGTGCCATACTCGCTGGTAGTTTCTTCATTGCACAAACTGTAAGTGTTTTTTTTTCTTTTTTTTTGGGGTGAAATATGATTTAAACAAACGAAATGAAAGAATCGTCGAGAGAATCAAAATTTCAAATTTTTATCATTCCATCATCACCTTCGCCAGACTACTGGGATACGGTCTTTCATATAAGCACAACTGCTACAAAAAATTCATCGTAGCCTATCGGATCCAAAAAACGGCACCGCAGTCCATCATATCATCAAATAACAAAATAAATTTTTTATATCTAAAAATTTCTTTCAGATTGACACCGTCGGATGCAAGACGTCTGCAATGTTTGTTGCATTTGTCACTGGAATCTATCAGGTTAGAGTTTAGCAGTATCACAGTTAGCTTGAAAAAAGGAAATTTTACAAACTTATAAGATCAATTCAAACTTAAGCCTAAAGGTACTCACGTATCTTACTAATGTATTTCTCTTATGAAATTCGGAAGCACTTCAATTTTGCTTCAAAGGCAAACTGAAAGCAGCTTCTTGTCATATGTCTGGTTGCTTTGTTCAATGCCGCATCGCCTGGTGGTCAGCCCACTAGTGATCCTAATGTTTGTATCATCTCGTGAAAAGAGTATCAGCTTAATGTTCCTTCCGACAGAAACAATTAATAGGGCTCCAGTCTTTTTGAGGTAATAATGGTATTGTTCAGCATTCCTCCCTCCTGCCTCCTCTCCCCGTCCCCCGGCCCTCGCCCTCTTTTCCGGATTTCGTCAGCCCCAGATCACAACGAGGCATCCACACCGATTAGAGGGAACCATACAGAGTATGTTCGCACAAATTTCATTTACCCCAACTTTGCTTGCTCCACCAAATGCATCAACATTTGAAGCTCCAG